CTCCCTCTACCCCACAAGAGCATACAGACACTAGGTAGTGATTTTCTCTCCTGCTTTACCAGGCCAAGCAATGAGAGATCAGAGCCGCAGTGGCCTCCCCAGAGGAGGAGGAGGCATGAGTGAGCAGCCAGAGGCTGTGCTTTAAAAAATCCAGGGAGCTGAGTTGGGGCCCTTCCCTCAGCTGTGAGTTTTCTGGGAAAAACATGGAGCTGGAACAGAAAGCTCGTGAGGCACTAGTGTCGAGATGGAAATGACCCCTTTGCCAGCCGGCAGGGGCGATCCCAGTGGGCACCTCTGCATCAACTAGTGGAAAGGAAGCGACGTGGGGAAAGGGCAAACACATAGGACTTGGAGTCAGCCTGAACTTGAATCTCAGCTCCACTTTAGGCAAGCGCTTCATCTCTCTGAGTCTCATTTTCTTCATCTGTAAAATAGGGGTGATGACGGTACCTGCCTCAGAGAGTGAGAATCAGATAGGTGAGTGTGAGTGCTTTGCAAACTAAGTGCTGTAGGTTTTGCTCTATGTGAAACTCAGGGCTGCGTGCTTTTAGGAACACAGGCAGAGCATGAGAAGCAGGCCCTGCCCTTGGCGATGTGCAATCTAGTGGGGCAGGAAGACTGGCACACAGAGTTCTGAGCAGTGTTGGTGCTGCAGGTCCAGATTGCTGCATGGATGTGGAGCTGGGAGAAGGAAGAAGGGCTGGACTGGGTATTCAGATGATGCTTCCTGGAGGAGATAGAATTTTTGCTGGGCTTGGAAGGATGGGTAGGAGTTCACTAGGCAGATGATAAAATAAAGACTCTCACTCTGGGCAGGAGATACATGATCAAGGAAATAATGACAGATGTTGGTAACAGCCACAGGCCACTTTATATGCTTTGTTTGATCCTCTTGAGGTAGGTTTTATTATTATTTCTAATTCATAGGGGAGACCCCAGGGGTTGGATATCTTGCCCGGTGTCAGACTGCTGGTAAATGGCACAAGAAGGATTCAAACCCAGGTTCTAAGGCTCTGAACTATCATCTATAGCAGTGGTTCTCAACCTTCAGGCCCTTTAAATACAGTTCCTCATGTTGTGATCCAACCATAAAATTATTTTCATTGCTACTTCATAGCTGTAATGTTGCTACTGTTATGAATTGTAATGTAAATATCTGATATGCAGGAATGGTCTTAGGCGACCCCTGTGAAAGGGTCGTTCGACTGCCAAAGGGGTCGCAACCCACAGGTTGAGAACCGCTGATCTATAGTGATTCCCTAAAAGCAGAATGTACCAGAGATGCATCTGTGATTCCATTGGTTCAATCCTTCATTTATCCAGTGAGCAATTTCTGAGCCCCTACCACATTCCCAGCCACTCTTTGGTGTTAGGGATGGGAATGAGAGGAAGGTCCCTAGCCCCCATCATGGGGCTTCAGGATAGTGGGAAGAGGACACATAAAGAAATAACCACAGTACAGTTGGTTCTCTGCCAGGGTACCGTGCTGGCCCTTGGGTGGAAACAAGTAGCTGCGTGTGTTGGAGGCGAGGGCTCACAGAAGACACTCCAGTGTGGACGAGTTGGAGCTGGTGAGGAGGGGGAAGAAGCTTGTCAGGAAGGCATTCCAGCAGAGTGGAGATATCCTAACTCCTACTATTCATACATTGTAATTTTGTTTTGTTTCTCTTCTTCTATATATATATATATGTATTTTATTTATTTTTTACAGGGAGGAAGGGAGAGAGATAGAGAGTTAGAAACATCCATGAGAGAGAAACATGGATCAGCTGCCTCCTGCACACCCCCTACTGGGGATGTGCCCGCAACCAAGGTACATGCTCTTGACCGGAATCGAACCCAGGACCCTTCAGTCTGAAGGCTGACGCTCTATCCACCGAGCCAAACCGGCTAGGGCTGTTTCTCTTCTTAAAAAAAATATTTTTTATTGTTAATAGTATTACAGATATTTCCCAATCCTCCCCACCCCCCCGCATTGTGATTTTAAATGCAATTCTGTCCTAAAAACTTGTCATGATCATCGTGGTTTTTAACGTTGGGTGACTCAATAATCTTGCACTCAACTATTACTTTTTTTTTGGCGGGGGTACTACTAGCACCAAAGCTAAGCTGGATAGCAACCAATGGCTGTAGATGCCTCACATGCAGTTTTCCCCATAATATGGAAAATGTTTTAAGTCTATATTTCTCTTGGGAGGATAAGCTGATAGAGTTGTTTTCGCCCTTAGGAATACTAAAGCCATCTATCCTTGGTTCTCCTTGAGGCTTTAACCCAATTATTCTGCTCATTTACACAAGAATACAAGGGTGCCGCAACCTTATGCTGCGGGGGTTCAGGACCTGAAGAAGGGGCCGCGCACAAATGAAAACACTAGATAAGAAATATGAATTTAGAAGGCATGGGGGGCCAGGTGGAGACCTCCCTCTTAGAGAGGCACACCGACTTCTGGCCAGTCTGCTTTTTATTCACCTTTAGATACACATCTTGCCCTCAGTAAAGCACGGCAACCAGGTAGCAGACAGACCGTCTCAAAGGTCAGTAAAGATCAGTAAAGATTTACTTTGAGGCTATCGGGTCAGGAAATTGCTTCGAACCACCTCTATCTCAACAGAACAATTGGTACATGGTATTTGTCCTGCTAATCATCCAAGGTTCATGGCCTTCCGAGTTCCTTGATGCACTCTCATGATAGTATTGACAATGGATGGCTTCCCACACAAGGGTGTCCACTGGAGTGGCCAAAGTCAGTATCATTCACACCATGGCATGCTTGAAGTAAGGTAATAGGAACTCTTCTGTTCAAAGAGTTCTCCATCAGGGCAGACTGAGGTTCTTCTGTTATTCTAAGGCAAATGGCTTTGGAAACGTCTCACGGTCATCAGTGTGCCCTTTATAGGACTCTGGATCAGACGCACTGAATGAATATTCCAACGCTGACACTAGTTTTGGAAAAAAAAATGTAAGTCCTGAACTAAAAATCTGGACTCAATATTTTGGAACCCATCATTGACAGTCTGAAGCATAGCCCGCATTGTAAAGTGAAGAATCCAGCCAGGAACCCATAATAGACTAGGTGGAAGAGCACGATCAAACTCCTGCTCTTGCCGTGCGCCCCAGTAACTCCCTAGTGGTCGGTGAATGATCCTGACTTCGGTAGGTGGTTGTAGAAGAAGAGCTCCCACCCGGGCAGGCTCTGGCTGAAGGACTTTTTGTGTTTCTCTGTCATGGTGTGTGCGAGGAGAGCTGCAGCCACAGAGGTTGCGAGGAGCATGGAGGTGCATTCTGGCTCCAGAGGTGCTGCCTGGCTATGGGGGCAGAAGGTGGGACTGCAGAGAACACCTTCTCACTGCCGATCGCACCCAGGCCAGCTGCCATGCACCGGGCGGGCTGCTGCTGAGGCCATGGGAGCTTGACATTTCTACTGCCTCGGCCAATCCCTGCACCACTGGACCCACAATGCTGCCACTATCACCACCTCCCTTTTCTTTTTCTTTGCTTTCATTTCTTTTTTATGGCTGAACTAATGACCTGGTGCATGGATTCATGCACATTGAAAGGAAATTAATTAGAAGATGGCTGGTGGGGCAGGACTGGGCGAGACGGGCCAGACATGCCGTGGAGCCAACCTCCCCAGTCTGCCGCACCTGGCATGGCACCGTGGCTTGAAGGGCGTCTGTGGAGAGAGCAGGGTCTCTCCAGCAGGTGGGGTCCCTTGGCTTGGCCTGCAGGGATCGGGCTGAAACCGGCTCTGACATCCCCCGAGGGGTCCCAGAGTGCGAGAGGGCACTCTGCAAAGTTGCTGTTGTACAGGGTGTGGAATGCAAATGCAAGTGTGCAGTAAACCAGATTTGGGACTGACAGTGCCCAGCAACAACATAACCCACGGCCGAAGGTGGAATCATGCGGCCCCATGAGGAATCGGGCTCCCTTCTCTCTGGTTTCGGGGTGTGTCACTCAAGAACCGCTGCTGCCAAGTCACCGCAGCTCAGCAGCTCCTGGTGGTCAGTGCACATCATAGCTACCAGTCGGATGGATACATAGCATATTAGCCTTTTATATATACAGATAGTATCCACCATATGGATACACCACATTTTGTTTACTCATCAGTTGATGGACAATTGTGTCTACTTTGGGGCTATTATGAATATGCTGCTGTGACATTTGTGTACAAGTTTTTGGGTGGATGTATGTTCTCAGGATGTTCCACTTCCAGTGGAGTCTAGGAGTCATGGTAGGGAGTGGGAAGAAAGAATGAAGCAGACGGACCTGCTTACCCACTGGGTACTCAGAGCAGATGGGTGGGAGTGAGAAGGGTAGGCTCAAGATCCTGTTCTAGCCTCACTGGGAGACACGTGTGAGGCCAGGGTAGGGCTGTCCCCCAACTACTGCACCCCCGCATTGTTGTGCCAGATCTGACAGCCATTTGCTAGAAATAACTTGGGCCGTGGTATTTTCCCTGGAAATCAGGTCCATTTTTTTCTGTGCCCTGCTGGGGCCCAAAATTAGTTAAACACATAGAGACTAGTGAGCCACACCTATAGTCTAGAGGAGAAGAGTGTTGTCAACAGGAAGCTGGCCTGCCAGGCGAAAGAGGTGGTCAGAGAGACAAAGGCCAGTTAACCAAGTGTAAACCGAGGGAGTGGTTTTGTTTATGGGAAATGCTGCAGGTAGCTCCCTGGCCCCATTTGACAGATGAGAAAACAGAGGCACTGCAGTGAAGGAATCTGCCATTCAGAAACAGAAAGGGTATTAAAACCAGAGTCTCCAGTTGTGCTGAGAGCAGCAGGAGCAGCAGGTTTGGTAAAACCTTGCTCTCAGTGCTGTGCCTGTTTTTGAGTTCACAGGAGAAGACTGAGGACACAAAAACAAGAATAGTTTATGTTGTTTTAGTCTCTGAAAAAACAACACCAAACTCCACCCCAGCCCCAAAGCAAAAACACAAAACAGGGCTTTAATTACCGTCTTTTTTTTCTTTCTTTTGTTTTTTGTTCTCCAGCCAGAAAACATTATGTTGTTAGACAAGAATATTCCCATTCCACACATCAAGCTAATTGACTTTGGCCTTGCTCACGAAATAGAAGATGGAGTTGAATTTAAGAACATTTTTGGCACACCAGAATTTGTCGGTGAGTTTTAGGGCTATTTCTCTCCCAGTTAAGAATCTGATATCAAAAGGTAAAGAAATCCCAGTAACAATCCGGGATATCAAAAGGTAAAGAAATCCCAGTGACAATCCAGTGTCTGGGGCTATGGCTTCCGGGCTACGAGATGATGCCTTCAAGACCCCCTAGAAACTCAATGGGTGGGAAAGGAAATGTCTTGCTGGCCTTTGGGTGAGGGTCCAGGGTTGGCTTGGGAAGGCCAGGTGGGGCTACAGGCCTTTGCAGAGTTAAACCTCCCCAGAGCTGGTCCCATCTCCTGCTCTTAGATGAGTTTGTTGTGAAGATTTAAAATTACCTCACCCTCTTGCATTCCTGTAAATTCAACTTTCTCTGAAAAGAAAAAGGGAAATCATCTGCCAGATGCCAGATCCTCCCACTCGCCTCTCTATGCCTGACCTTTATTTATGCACAGGAGGCCCACCTGCAGCAGGGCCCAGGCGGCTCTCTCTTCCCTTTGTTTCTCCCACTCTTGGCCCAGGCCTCAGAAACCACCTCACGGGGCTTGGGCTGCCAGTTGGGGGTCATAAAGAAACAGCCTTGTAAAGGGGGAAGGAATGAGAGTTGAGAACCACTGTCTCTCTGCTTTGGGAGTTAGAGTGGTCTTGAAAATGGAGGGAAGATATCGTCTCCCCAAAACCCAGGGGCTGAAACTTCTGACCACAGTCTAAATAAAATAGAAGACAGAATGTGTCAGGTCACTCACTGATGGGTTTTTAGGCCACACTTACTAGCGCTGCAGCCATGATGGCATGGTGCTGCAGAGGCCCCACAGACCCACCGGCGGGGGTGGGTGCCAAGTACTATGCCTGGTGCCCTACAGACATTATCTCAGTTAATCCTCAAACCACCTCATGAAGCAGATTTACTTATTTCCTCTATCAAGAGCTTTGTTCAGGGCAAAACACCAGTAGGTGGTGGAGCTGAGATTCAAATACAGATACATTAAACATCAAAGCCTATCCTCTTTCCATGACACTGGATTGTCTCTCTGAGGAGACCCTGCCCCAAGGAGCTTACAGTTTGTGGAAACAAGACATCAAGCCACCAAATAAGAGTTCTGGAAGGCTCTTTGCAGATCATTGGTCTAGTTTTACAAATGTGGAACTGGAGGACTGGAGGATTTTAGTTAAGATCAACCAATGGTTATTCTTCATCTTTTGTATGGGAGATATTAGGTGAGGACTAGGGGCAGACACAGTGATGGTAAGGAGCCACATTCAGAATAACACACCCAAGGTCACACCATGAATTGGTGGCAGAGCAATTAATCACATCCTGTCTCATGGCCAATCATTGCCCTGACTTTCTGATTGAACCATTTATTGTTATTAAACAGTTGGCATGACTTAACAAAATAAACATATACATTTTTACTACATATGTGAATGGTAGGCAGCAATTGCTATCTCAGAAAAAAGTTCAGTAATAGATGTCTTATGCTCCAGGTTCAAGCTGGCTCTGCCACCAATTCATGGTGTGACCTTGAGTATGTCATTCTGAATGCAGCTTCTCAAAGTCTGTTCAAACAAGATATCTAGCCAAGTCAATGGGATCAGTCAGGGCCTTGAACCAGTGAGGGACAAGGGCTGTTGTGGGTGGGGGAAGTTTCTGAGAGGGGTGGGGAAGGAGCCAGGGTAGTGGAGGAGCCCATTCCAGGTCCAGTCATCCATAGCAGGGGGATAGGGCCAGAATTAGTGCATTTATCAGAGACAATTCACTGTTCACTCTGGATGGAGCAGAGAGTTCACACAGACTGGTTATGTACGTGGGATATTCATGAGTAGGGCCAAACTGTGGAGTGTTTTGCCCAATCGTATGCTGATAAATGTCTAACAAATGGGTCTCAAAACAAAACCCTAATTTCTAGTATTTTCCAATTTCAAGCTATGAACATGTCACTGAAATCAGAGTTGTGAAGAGATGCTCACAGCTGACTCTTGTGAGACAGTATGAGTCAGTTCCAGCCCCAAACTGGCTTTCTGTGTACCTTACAGATATGTAGGGTGGCTTCTCTAAGCCCCTGCCCAACCTCTGATGCCCGACTCTCCTGAGAAACAGGTTATAACCATTTTCCTTATTTCCATGATTTCTTTGAAATTTCAACCGGAGACCCAGGGTTAAAAATTTACTGTCAGCTTCCTGGAGTGTGGTGGACCTGGTTTTCCAAACGTCCTCCCACTACAAAACTGGGCTCTTGAAAAAAATATTATTTTTAAAGCAATTTTGGACTCATAGGAAATGAGTAAGGGTAGTAACTCCTTCAGCATATCTGGCTCACCCCAAAGCCAATGAAATGAATTTAGAACTGGATCAGTGAGCAGCAAGTTCAATAGAAGGGCTGCTCCTAAAAGCAAGTACACATATCAGTATTTCAATCAGAGACTAGCAAGATTTAGGTGTTCAAAGACATAAGATATTGAAACCATCAGATGTTGACTATAAAATAAATGGAATGTATATAGAAATATAAGGTAGAATCACAAGAATGAGCAAGCAACAAGAGAGTGTCAAAGATGCCCAGGCAAATTCTAAAAGGAACCAGATAGAACTTTAAGAAATACAATCTATACTTGTAGAAATGTAAAACTCAATGAATGGACTAAACAGCAGATTATACACTGCTGAGGAGAGACTTGAAGAATTGGAATACTGAGCTAGAAAAAATTAGCTAGAGTACCACAAACTGACAGACCTAGAAATATGAGAAAATAAGAGAATGAGGATAAAAAAAGAAAGCCTAACATAGGTCTATTTGAACAGAGACAATAGAGAGGTAACATTTGAAAAGAATAGCTGAGAATTTTCAGAACTGATGTAAAAACAGAAACCGAAAGGACAGTGTACATCAAACAGAAAACAAAAGAAAATAAATCCATACCTAGCCACATTATAGTTAAACTCTAAAGTACCAAAGACAAAGAAATCTTAAAAACCAGCCAGAGAGAAAAGATAGATCACCTACAAAACAAGAAACAAACAGTAATTAGACTGACATACTTCTCAAAACAACAATGGGGCAGGGGAGGGTGGGGGAGGAAGAGGTAAGAGATCAACCAAAGAACTTGTATGTATATAAGCATAACCAATGCACACAGACAATATGGGGGTGAACGCCTGGGGGGGAGGGGCAGGCTGGGAGAGGTCAATGGAGGAAAAGGGGGACATATGTAATACTTTCAACAATAAAGAATTTAAAACAAAACAAAAATGGGAGCCAGTGTCCAATAGAATATTATCTACAAAGAGCTGAGAAAAAAACAATAGTTGTGTACCCAGGAAAATTACATTTCAAGAATGAGGGTAGTGCTTGCTTTGGCAGCACATATACTAAAATTGTAATGATACAGAGAAGATTAGCATGGCCCCTGCATAAGGATGACATGCATGTTTGTGAAGCATTATATGTATAAAAGAAGAATGAGGGTAAAAGATTCAGGTAAAACAAAGCAAAAAACAATAAAAACAAAACATAATCAAATACCAGCAGACCTTTTGTAATGGAATTTCTAAAGGACATACTTATGAGTTAAGGAAAATGACCTCTGAAGGGACATCTCCATGTAAGAAGTAATAGGAACAAATAAATCAGTTAACGTTATGCAAACATGAACATTTTCTATTTAAAATAATGATGAAGTTTTAATTATGAGGGTAAAAAAAGGACAACTAAACACTGAAAAAAATAATGCTAGATAGGACAGAATGCTTGAAATTAGGGTCTTATATTAGTAGAGGAAGGTTAAAATGTTGACTTATGTTAGCATTTACTAGGTAGACATAGTAAAGTCTCAAGGTAGCCATTACAAAAATATAAGTGTGTGTGAACAATAAGAAAAAAACAACAACAGAAAGAAACATGAAAATGAAAGATCATGGATGATCATTCAATGGATGCTAGAAGCATAATGGTGAGTGAGGGGGAGAACATCAAATGACAGTGGATCACATGCAGTATTCCATCATTTTTTTTTTTTATTGCTTAAAGTAATACAAAGGGTATTACATATGTGTCCATTTTTTCCCCCCACCCTAGACAGTCCCCTAGCCTCCCCTATCCCCCAGTGTCTTATGTCCATTGGTTATGCTTATATGCATGCATACAAGTCCTTTGGTTGATCTCTTACCCCCCTACCTCCTGCCCCCCAACCCTCCCCGGCCTTCCCGCTGCAGTTTGACAATCTGTTTGAGGCAGCTCTGCCTCTGTATCTATTATTGTTCAAAAGTTTATAATGGTCTCTATTATCCATGAATGAGTGAGATCATGTGGTATTTTTCCTTCATTGACTGGCTTATTTCACTTAGCATAATGCTCTCCAGTTCCATCCTTGTCGTTGCAAATGGTAAGAGTTCCTTCCTTTTTAGAGCAGCATAGTATTCCATTGTGTAGATGTACCACAGTTTTCTAATCCATTCATCTACTGATGGGCACTTAGGCTGTTTCCAGATCTTAGCTATGGTGAATTGTGCTTATGCCATCATTTTTATGAAGCTGAAAAATAAGCAAAGCCAAAAGAATGGCTTCCTGTTTCTGCAAGTAGGGAGAGGTGGGAGGGTGGAATGGTGGCCATACCCTGTAGATGCAGTGGCTTTGATATTCTAGGTCAACAAACTTAACCTTTCCCACTCCTTATCTTACTCCATTAGTGGTGAAACAGGCTCACTTCTTCTCCCTGCTCTAGCCTCTGCCCTCTCTTTCTCTTCCATTTCATAGGTAACCTTTTTCTTTTTTAAAGAGTTGTCTACAGCCCTGACCGGTTTGGCTTGGTGGATAGAGCGCCGGCCTGCAGACTCAAGGGTCCTGGGTTTGATTCCGGTCAAGGGCATGTACCTTGGTTGTGGGCACATCCCAGTAGGGAGTGTGCAGGAGGCAGCTGATCGATGTTTCTCTCTCATTGATGTTTCTGACACTCTCTATCGCTCTCCCTTCCTGTCTGTAAAAAAATCAATTAAAAAAAAAAAAAAGAGTTGTCTACAAACTTATCTCCACTCCCCACACTCAGGGCATTCTTTGGCCACTGCAGTGATTGTGAAATGCAATACTCACTTGCCAGTGCTTGTCTGCTTGACCTCTGGGCTGCATTTAGTCTCCTTTTTTTCTCAGTAGAGTCTTCTTCCCTAGGCTCTGCACCCTCTCCTGGTCACCGCATCATTTGCACAATTCCCGTTTCCACCTATACGATGACTCCAAATTTGATAGCTCTGGCCCACTCCCTAATGCCCAGCTTCTTCCTGGACACCTTCCCCTGGATGCCCCTCAGGCACCTCAAGTTCATCATCTGGACCCCAGAATGTCCTTCTGACCCTCAGGTGGGAGGTACCCTCTTTCAGACCAGACTCGGAGGAATGTGTATTCCCTCTCTGCCATCTTCTCCATCACCTTCCAGTGGTGACCTGACTGGCTTCCACCAGAGAGCTCTTAAGTAGGCCTTGTCACTAGGCCCCATTTCCCCTTCTTGCATCTTCCTCTCCCCACCCTCCTCTTCCTTTTCCACACGTTCCTTTGTGCTCTCCTCACTATCAAGGCCTCTTTGTAAAAGGTTTCTACCAGGATAACAGGCAACTAACTTCCTCAAAATTCTTAGAGCTGGATTATTCTCTTCCTTTGCTCTGACTTTTCTTAGTGGGGATTCAGGATGGAGACATTTGGTACCAAACTCCCTAAAATTCCCTACAGCCATCTCTTCCATTTTCATACTCCTGCTGACTCTTCCATATGGCTTCTTGCAGCTCCAGAGATTGTGAACTATGAGCCCCTGGGCCTGGAGGCTGACATGTGGTAAGTAGTGTAGGCCACCCAGGTGGTCTAGGGATCCTCCCAAAGGCAGAAGGCCTCAGACCCTGGCTCTGGCTGATATCCCTCTTGACCGTGAAAACCCCTTTCTCCATGCTCTCCTTTCAGAGACTCTGGCTGCTCCAGGAGTGCTGGGTCTGAGGCCTGGGCAGCTGGAGGCAGGTAGGCCTGGAGATGAGGCCAGTTAGAGCATGGCAGAGGCAGAGAACAAGGGAAGAGCTGAGGCTGAGGTCCAGGATCCACCCCCGAAGCCTGCCACGGCCATGATGGAGATAATGTAGTAACAGCTTTTTCAGTCAGTCAACCAAGTGACACTGAGAGCCTCTTGTTCCAGGCTCTGTGGTGGGCCTGGGGATACCGCAGTGATTGATTCTCTGCACAGACAGGACTTGTTTCATGTGGACAGTGCTTTATAGCTGGCTGAGCACCTTGATTAGTTGGTTTTCTAAAATCCTCCCAGCAGTCCTGTGAGGTAGTTATTATTGTCCTCACTGTATGAGGAGAAAGAGACTCAGAAGTGTTAAGGGACTTGCCCCAATCACAGCCTGCAAGTGCAGGAGTCTGATCTTGAACTTGGGTCCTTGGACTCAATGTCCAGAGTGTGATGACTCCACATGCTTCCCTGGGTGCTGCTGAGGAGTGGGATGGAGAGGACTGTGGGACTCGAGATGGCATTCAGAGGCAAGTGACCACTTCCCCTGAGAACCATGCGGGGAGTTCCTTGCTGGTCCAGCATTAGAGCCAGGAGACCCTGACTTGACTGTTCTTTGTTTTGCAGGAGCATAGGCGTCATCACCTACATCCTGTGAGTATCCCTGATTCCGGGTGTCCCAGCTTAGACCTGGGGGAAGCAGGAGGAATGAGAGAGGGGCAATCAGACAGATTGACACCGAGCACCCACCATAAACCAGATGTGTTCGAGCCACACAGTTAACCTGAGGCTAAGCCCTCTTAGCTCCATTCCACACATTTGACCCTGGGGTTGGAGTTGGGCAGGAGAGCAGCCTGTGGCCCTCCGCACTGTGCAGCCTGTGTCTGCATCCCCACCGTGGCCGGGGCCCACCGCTCTGCTTCACCCAGACCAAAGTTTGCTGTGAGAGTGTCAGCTTTCACTCAGAAGCCTTGTGATGACAGCTCTCACGTCATTATGCCCTCCCTGATCCTGCCTCCTTCTCTCCCTTTCTCCCTTCTTTCCCCAGCTCTCACATTCTCCCTCCTCCTTTCTCCCTGGAGTCTCTCCTTTCTGTTCCTGAAGTTTTAAGTCGCTCAAGCAGAGATTTCCTGCACAGCTCTGCGTGTAGTGGATCTGACACTTTCCATCTCCGTGGCCTTGGCAGATTCTTAACTCTCTCTGGGCCTGTTTTTCTCATCAGAAAAATAGGAATCACAAATGTCCCACCAGGGGTGTGTTGTGAGGGTTAAATAAGCTGACATGTGCAAATTTCCTGGCACTGCTCTGGCACCTAGAACATGGCTGATTAGTGGTTGTTTATTCCATCAGTCCTTCCCAACCAGTTTCCCCCCCACAGCACACCTGGAAAATGCTATTTCTCTGGCACATTGGGTGAGAGTCAGCCCACAGCCAGACTCAACAGCTGATGGGGTCATTCTCCCAACACCCCCATAAACTAGATTTCTGACCAGCAGTACTTGGACTGGGGGCTCTGTACAATGTGGGGGACCCCCTTGAGCTGCAGAGAGGGACTAAACCCTGACTGTACATAAGACCTTTTGATACCACCACGGTCGAGATGGTACGTACCCCAGATCTATTAAATGAGAATCCCTAGGGGTGGGATCTGGGCACCAAATATTTTAAAAGCCCCAGAGGAATTCGATGCAAAGAGAGAGAATTTGATGCATTGCTCTATAGTTCCAAATCAGAGCCAGAATAGTCAGATGTTGGCTCTTGAAACATTGGTTTCTTCAGAACTCTGGTGCCCGCATTGAAATGTTAAAGAATTCCAGTGTGTACAGGGCACATAGACTTCTTATAGCTCATTTGAGTTCCGTACAGTTTTTTGAGTGCCTGCTCCATGGTGGGCATTGTGCCAGGCACTTGGGATAGTGACATGATGGAGAGTCTGCCCTGCTAGTCTGGAGCTCCCTGTGTTGGGGTGGGTTGGGGAATGACTCCAGGTAGCTAACTCTCACCCAGTGGGACCAAGGTTATGGTGGAAGTATGAACACATCTCTGTGAGACACAGATGGGAGAGGCAATGGTCTGCTGGGGCTTCAGAAGGTTTAATGGGTTTGGGGGAGGAGAAGGAGCTTGATTGATTGACCTGATTTGAACTGGACTGTACAGAATGAGGTTAATTCTCCAGGTATAAAGGGATGGAAGGAATGTCCTGCTCAGGAAGGAAACAGCATGTTAAATGTGGTGAAATGCATAAGGAATGTGTTAAGGACTAACTCCTGATGCCTTGCTCAGGAGTTTAGATGTGATCCTATAGAGAGCATGATTTCCAACTGGTGTGCCACAAGCATTTTTAAAACATGCAATACCCGACTAGTTAGGCAGGGGCACTGACCTCTTTTCCCTGAGGTTGTCAAATTAAAAAATGACAACAGCCAACACAACAATAGCTGTCTGGTGTGATTGATTCAAAATTATACCTAACTTTTATCAGATCAACAAAAATATATTTTTGGGCATGCTGCAGAATTTTAGTAATTAGTTTATGTGTACCATGAGGTGAGAAAGGTTGAAAATCGCTCCTAGAGAAAATGGGGAGCCATAGAAGGTTCTTTGTGTTCTAACAATGACGATAATAATGGCCACCAATTTCAGATCTTTAATGAGGGCATGATTGTATAGATCATTTTATATACATATTTACTCTTCACAACAATCATGTGAGGTGGAGACTTAATTTCTTCATTTTATAGATAAGAAAACTGTAGATCAGAGAAGCTGAGGAACTTACCTAGGTTGAACCTAAGATTGAAATGTCAAATATTTGCCGGTGCACTATGCTGAGAAAATGGCAGTGTGGATGGGGGTGACTTTCAAGAGATATTTGACCAACAAAACTTTCTGACCAGTTGGATGAGGTGAGGAAATGGAAGGAAGAATCAGAGGTGACCCCTGTGTTTCCAGCTCGGATGCATTTGTGAAGTAGCATCATTAATCCCGGCAGGGAGTTCAAGGAGGGAGGTTTGGACACAGTGACTTCTGGGAAAATGGCACCTCTAGGTAGAGGTTTCCCATAAGCAACTGGCATATGTGTTAGGAGACAGTAGATTCAGGAGTCACTACTTAAATGACGCCTCCTTCACAAACCTTGCAGGGGAACCTCACACCCCCTTCTAGTCCCTAATGGCACAACTGACGCCAGTGTCAACTCTCCCATGAAGCCTACACTCGGCCTCCCCTCCATCCTGTGCTCCCACAGTCCTTTGTCTGTCCTTCTATTATATTCTACTTTGTTCTGCTGTGCTTTTCTCCCTTCCTCTTTCCAGTCTCCTGAAGATACAATTTCTGTCAAGTGCTTAGTTAGAGCTCCGTAAAGTGTATTGAATTGGACTCAGTTGAAAAAGCTGCTGACTGGCTGCTCAGAGGGCTCAGGCAGTGTTGCTGGGAGCTCCCAACCCCATGCAATCGTATGAGTCAGGGTTACCTGAGTCCATCACCCCCTATTCATCTACTTTCCTGTAGTCACGTGTTCTCTCTCTCTGTGCTCAGCCTAAGTGGAGCATCCCCTTTCCTGGGAGACACGAAGCAGGAGACACTGGCAAATATCACAGCGGTGAGTTACGACTTTGATGAGGAATTCTTCAGTCAGACCAGTGAGCTGGCCAAGGACTTCATTCGGAAGCTTCTGGTTAAAGAGACCCGGTAAGAGGACAGAGAAAGGCACGGGCTTCTGAGGTACTAACCTGCACCTGTTGCCCTTCCCCATGTCAGTCTGTCCCCACTTTCTCACGGGCTGTCATCTGTGCCATTGTGGTCTAATCTGGGCAGGTGCTGAGAAGTGTGGACTGGCATTCATCTTGTTTGCTCAAGCCTTTCTGCTTCTTTTCCTGCTGAAATGCAAATAACTACATGTGGTGTGTGCACAGTGTGTATCTGTGTGTGTGCAGTATTTGTGTGTCTCTGTGTGTGTGTGTTTGGAAGTCAGCCTGGGTTTCTCTAGGACTCATTATCTTGTGCAGTCTGTCCCCAAAGCACCAGGAACTAGAATTTGAAAAGGAAAGCAGCAAAACCAATTCAGGTGGGGAGGTGAGCTCAGAGAGGCCAAAAAGTGGGAGAATAGGAGACATAGTAATCCTATCCCTTCTTCAGGACCGAGGGTGAGCTCTGTGGCTGTGGGGTCACAGTGGGAAATGGGCAGGGAATTGTAGGGAGTTAGGTGCTCGGAGCATTGCTTACCTGGGGCAGGAGTAAGGTCTACAGATTCTACAAGGTCATGGCTTCTTGGTCCTACAGACTTTGGAGAGAGCCAGAGTGGGGTCCTCTATAATACGGAGGTTGATTTCTCCAGCTAAGGGCAGTGCTAGGCAGCAGCATCCTACCTGGGTACAGTGAAGGCAGAGCTGAGAAGGGATCTGGGAGGCAAACAGGAAAACAGAGACCAAAGGTTTAACAAGGGAAAGTGGGAAGCTCAAAAGAGCACTTACGACTCTCCTATAGTGTGGCGTTAGGCCCTTCCACTTTGGGATCAAAGATGAGGGTTTATGTATTGTCACTCTACAGAGGGGTCAGTCTGGACCATTTTCTCTGGAGTGCAGAGAATTCAGCCAGTTTCCCATTATTCTGGTTTGATGGCAGTGATCAAAGAATGCCAAAATGCTAGTCTAAGAAGAGTAAGAATGAAGACCTTTGCTCTCAGCTTCTGTCCTCATGGGTCACCTCTATTTCTGGTCCTCATTGCAGGAAGCGGCTCACAATCCAAGAGGCTCTCCGACACCCCTGGATCACGGTAAGGGCACAGTGATGCGTTCCAGTGAGCAGGAAGGTCTCCGCTCTGTCGCCAGGGCTGGCTGGGGTGGCTGGATGCAGAGGACTCTTGAAATACTGACCCATGGGCACAGATGAAAGCTAGTTGGAAGGCCCCAAGGTTCTGGGCCTTTTTCAAATAGGTTTATAGGTTTAAGATTTTATTTCATGGGTTCAGGTGACTTATAAAAAGCAACCCTCACAAACCTTAGTTGTAACCCTTTTTCTCTAGGGCCATCTTACAAAGTGTTCTTTGTCGGATGATGTGTCACTCTTGTTCCCAGTTGTAGAGAGAGATTGGTAACAATGAAAAATCTCAGCTTTGTAACCAGGGCTCCTTCTGACTTTTGGGGCTCTGAGTAAGGAGGACACTAAACCAGTCACCTGGCTTCCTCAGGCACCGTGAGACCTCAGGGAATGGGGCTCCGAGATGGAGGCCTGGTGGGAAGAGCCTCTGTGGGCAATTCCGTTCCCTCTGGGGAGGACAGGGGAACAAAGGCAACTCCCTGCCTGACCTGCTTTGTAATTGAGCTTCCAGCTGCTGGTTTTCCAGAGGTTTTGTGGTCTAGTCACAGTAAGGTGCTATGAAAAGCCCTTTGGGGCGGTGGGAATCAGGAGACTGGGACTCTGGCCCTACTAGTTTTGTTAACTGAGAAGATGTGTACTCCAGGCACATAGTAGGACTTCTAATTCCCTTGAACTGTTTGTTAAATGAGAGAGCTGGCGAGGATGATCTGAGGGGTAGAGGGGGAGGGCTGGAGTGCTCCAGAAAGATCAGATTCCTCTGCTCAGTGAAGGATGAGGAAGGCCAAGGGCCCTCCAGCTTCGGGGTGGGCTCAAGGCACAGAGCTAGGGAGTCTCTTGGGCTGCCTCCTTGCTCAGCCTGCTGAGTGTTGCAAGGTCCAGGCGACTGACTGGCCCTGAAGGCAAGAGGCCACTCAGCCGCCCACTGTGAGACCTGGCCCTGCGTGCTCCTGGCCTTGAGTAGATGCCTGCAGAGTGCTGCAGCCTGCCTGTCTGTGTGAGCGCCCTAAATGCTATGCGTGTGAAGACCCTCTAATGCCGAGGGCCACCCTGCCCTGAAGTGAGCATGCAGGCAGCACCCCTGTACTCCTCGCTTTATGATGGTCTGTAGGGGTGCTCATCCCACCCTGGTCCTCCACATGGCCTGGCGCATGCAGTGAATGCCAGAGGCTGCTTGTGTGCCTTCTGCCTCCAGCTCGGACTGCCCTTTGGAGCAGGAGTCAAATTAACTCTGGCTCTTCTGTCTAAACACCCACCAGTCCAAAGGAGAAGCCAGAGCCCCAGAACAGCGGAAGACAGAGCCCACCCAGCTGAAGACCAAGCGCCTGAGAGAGTACACCCTCAAATGCCACTCTAGCATGCCTCCCAACAACACCTACGTCAACTTTGAGCGTTTTGCTCATGTGATGGAGGATGTGGCTTGGGTCGACCAGGGATGCCATGCCCTGGCAGGGGCCCATGACACCATCCAGGATGATGTGGAAGCTTTGGTTTCCATCTTCAATGAGAAGGAAGCTTGGTACCGAGAGGAGAGCGAGAGTGCCCGGCATGACCTGTCCCAGCTCAGGTACGAGTTCCGCAAAGTGGAGTCCTTGAAGAGGCTCCTGCGAAAAGACATCCAGACCACAGGCTCCAGCCTCGGAAGCATGGCCAGGAAACTGGACCGTCTGCAGGTGCAGTTTGAAGCTCTGAGGCAGGAGCTCTCAGCAGACCTACGGTGGCTCCAGGAGCTGGTGGGCAGCTGCCAGCTGGAGAGTGGGAGCACAGATGGCCTGGGCTCTGTGTTCTGCCGGGACGCCAGTGAGCCCCTAGCGGAGCTGCGCAGCAGACCAGGCAGCGACAAAGTCTTGGCTGGCTTGGAGATCTGAGGACCAGAATCTCGTCAGCAATGCCTCCTGGATGGCTTGCAGAAGCATGTTCCAACGGCCCTGCTGGGCATCAGCTAGAGTTCTCCTGCAGGGATGTATGTCTGTAGCATAGACTTCCACCCCCTTCCCAGAACCCAGAATCACAGAGGTACTAGCGAGTTATTCATTCTGCACCTCCTCTCACCAACCTGGTTTTCTGGGATGGGGGATTGGCAGGGCAGCCAAGCTGTTAAAACAATTGAGAATAAACAGCCTTTCTGTATCTTTCTCTAGAGGGAGGACAGCTGGCTCTGGGGAAATGCTTGATAACTGATGTGTGATCATGGATTTGTGCACATTTCACTTCCCACCTATATGCCTTGGGGGTGGCAGATCTTGGGTAATATTGAGCTAACTGGGGGTAATAGTAAGTCAGCTTGGTGCTTTCCTGCTTCAGAAGGAGGAATTTTAAATGCACAGAGAAAATATTACTTCTCATTTGCATTGACATCACTTATCAAGCACTTACATCTTTGATCCTTAGGTCTTTGATCCCTAAAATAACTTTGCAAGACAGGAAAGTCGGTGGCATTATGATTGCTGTTACTATTATTTTCATTTATCTGATAAGGAAATTAACTCAAAGAAGGAAAATGATTTTCTCAGGGTCATTCATAGCTGGTTGATACAGATGAGACAGAAACTCGGGATGCCTGACTCTAAGATGAGGTATATGGGAAGAAATTGCGAGACTTTGATGTAAATATCCATCTTAATATTAAAGTTCAGACCCCAGCGGTAAAATAAGCAACTTCACGTATTCTGCCAGGTATGGATGGAATGCTTCCTACCTTCAGATGATGGAGGAGTATGTCCTAGAGGGCGCAGTCATGGCTCCTGTCCAGCCTGAGCCTGTCTGAAGCCCAGCCCACAGGGTGAGAAGGGCAGCATCTCACCCTTCTCCAGCTGTCTCCCTCTGGCTAAGGGCCTCAACCTTGTGTTGGGAATGAATACCAAACGGGACTCAGCAAGAAGGTTCCTTTTCTTACGTAGTTAAGGCATTGGGCCCTAAAAAGTCAGAGAAACTCCATGAGAGTTTTTGAAGAGGGTGGACATTAAGACTGGGAAGCACAAGGTTTAGTGGTCCCCTCTTGACCCCAAGCTTTGAGCATACCCCCTGAGGACTGTGTGGTCTTATCACCCTTTTCCCAGAGGAGTACCCGTCATCCGGCTCATAGAGACAGAGCCTGAGTGTGGGCCCAGAACTGGGCTAGAAGCTTGGGGGTTGGGGAAAAGATGTATCATTCCCAAATGTCTTAATAGACTCACAACCTACCCTTGTCAGAGAAGCAGAGTAAATGCTATTCCCAGTTTGGAGATGAGGAAACAGAGAGGATGTGATTTGCCCAAGGGCATAATTGTGGCAAAAGTGGAGGTATCCTGAGACGTCTGTTGCCTTCCTGCTTCCCCTAACTGCCCAGGCTTCAGGAGTTTTCTCTCTGCTTCCTAGGCAGGTGATATGTAGATTCAACCATCCACCCATTCTCAAATAGTTTCTGAGCACCTAGCAACTGCCAGGTACTTGGTTTGGCCCTGGAGATACAAAGCTAAGAGAAAACAGGCATGTTTCCTGCCTTAACAAAGTCTGCAGTCCAGTGAAGGATTCCAACATTAATCAAGAACATTCTAGAAACGTAGAACTGAAGCTGAGACATATGCTGGGAATGAGAAGTATGAATTACTGTAAGAGCCTGCAATGAGGGTTTGATCTAATCAGGGAAGGCATCCACGAGGTGGTGATGCTGAGCTGAGATCAGCTAAGCCACACCAGGGAGAAAGAATTGTTCCCTACAGAGCCCTCACGCCATGGCTCTGTGGTGGGAGGGGGCATGGGAGGCTGAAATTACATAGATAGAAAGAAAGCTGGAGGGGAGAGAATAAAAGGATTGTGTACATGTGACTGGAGAGGATGCAGGACCGGCAAGGCTTTGCCATATCAAAGACCTCTGCCTTTATCCCAAGAGTCATGGGGAGCCATGATGGATGCCAGGCTAGTCAATGGCCTGATGTGCTGGGGGGAAACGCCTAGTGAGCAGCACAGATGGGAAGTGGTTTAGGACGAGACATGAGATTTTAATCTCATGAAAGCATTTCCTTAAAAGTCTACCTCCTTTTCTATTAGCATGCTGGATCATTTCAAATATATATAATATTGTAACAAACTTTTTTCATCAAATAGAAGAAACCGTATTTTCATCAAATATAAGACACATCATTATTTTATGTACCAAAAATAAGAAAGATAAAAAGCCCAAGATGGGAAGTCCAATAGGCGACCCCCCCCCCCACACACACACACAAAGGGGAACACCTGTACTAAGAGGGTAAGTGACAAGGCCACCGTGAGAAAGGAAAAGCAAGAGAATGTGAGTCCCAACCTTTTCCCTTGGGGCAGGATGACAAACCCTCCTTTAAGAATAGGCGCTCCGGGTGGTGGTCCTCATGCTTTGCGAATTTGCACAATCGTGTGATCCAAAAGGACCTCAAGCAGAGACTCTAGGTCAGACAGCCTGAGGCTGGTGGCCCCAATGGCTGGCGGAAGTAGACTGAACACCTGCCTTCACTTTAGACCGACAGTTATAATAAGATGCCATTGATTGGGAGACAAGTCCTGATTTCAGAGATCCAAAAATGTGCATCTTGGAATCAACAGAAGATGGCAAAGCTGTTCCTATGCCCTGCCTGGGAGAATTGGGACAAATGACCCATCTGCCATCTCTCCAAGGATGCCCTGTCCCAGGATGTGATGTATTCATTTGGCATAAGACACTGTTCCTATTAAAGGGTCCTTTGGCCATGTCAACACACCTTGACCTCACACAGCCAGGTTTCCTAAGGAAAGGAAGCCCTGACTGAGCAACTCGGGGGCAACTTTCTTGTGGGCGTCGAAATAAAATGCAATAGAAGAGAAAGACGTTGATGATGATTTGAATTAGGGAGACTGGGAAGAGGGAGGGATACGTTTCTTTTAGAATTGTGGCAGCAGCCACAGGCTCTCCAGGCAGGGAGGTCCTCAGAGGTGAACCACCAGACACCCTTGCAGCACTTTACAGGGCAGGACTTGTCTGAAGTTCACCCAGCTAGTCAGAACCATAGGAGGTTTTCCTCACAGGCGTGGACTTGTCCTCTTTATGTTCAAGTCCAGTCATTGGTAACGATTTGTCACTTAGACACTTTATAAACAGATCCTTTTCTGTACTAAGAACTTCCAAGGACAAATAGCAGTGAACTGAGAAATGCCCCCCAAGTGTTTCAGGGAAACCAGAGAAGACTGTAACCTTCCCCATCACCTGGCCAGTCCAACATGCATCACCCTTTGGCTTCAGAACCCAAGGAGACCCAGCCAGGGGGCCTACTGAACTTCTCCCCACACGCCCACAGCTGGAATTTTAGCAACGGGGTCAAGGGCAGGGTGGGGCTCATGGTCCCTAGGCATTTGTACTTAGACGGAGAAAGGCCTGGGGCACTGCTCTGTGGGCAGACCCAGCTGCCGTCAGATTTTTCATTCACTAGGCTGTTAATGAAAGATCGGCCGCTGTGCTCTGTGCAAATGCCATTCTGGACTCTTGGGGCGGGGAGGGTGAGTATGTGACATCTTCCTGAATAATGGTGCCCAGGGAAGCTGGAATTGGCTCCTGGGGAAGGCGGCAGCCTATCCCTGCTCTGAAGGGCATGCACATGGCACACAAAGGGGGGTACCACTGATTCTGCGATGCAGGCGGCTGGCCTTGAAGGGGTGTGAGGAATAACAATGACAGGAGAAGCCAGAGTCTCCTCCATGCACCCGCTCCCAGCACTGCCCACGCTCCCCTACAGGTGATTATGGACAGGGAGGCTTCCCACCTCACTCCATCACATGGTGCAGTCGGCCCCTTGGGAGGTGGCTTTGTGCCCCGATGCCATCCCCGCTGCAAATGTCTGTGGAACTGAATGGCCTTTTCTCCTTTGTCTGTGGAACTCTTGGCCTGTGGAGAAGGCTCTGCCCTGGAGCCGGACCCAGCAGTGGGCATATCTGAGGAGCAGAAGGGGCCAGTTCAGTGGAACAAACACTGATTGTGCTCGGCTCTGGAGGGAGGTGACAGATACGGACAAGACAACTCCTGAGTAAAAGACTCCATTTCTGGGATAAATGGGGACCTAACCCACTGAGAGACATGAGAGGCCGTGGTGATAAAATAGAGGTACCCAATATTCCAGAAAACAGGAGAGAGATGAATTCTGATTGAGAAAAGTTGAGAGGGGAGGCCAAGGGCAGAAACATTCTAAACACCCTCCCCTCCCCCACCCCAAACTGTAGCCTTGGAGAGCGGCCAAGTGGAATTCAGAGGGCTGGGGATAAACCCAGATTGGGGCCAGGACCCTGGACTGGGAAGTGGAAATTAAAGAGAAGATTACAGAGATTAAAAAGCGAGTTTTTGTTTTTAACTTTTTGTTATGGGAATTTTTCAAAACCTGCAAAAAGTATTGAGAATGGTGTAGTGAATTCTATGTACCTATTACCCAGCTTCAACAGTGAGCAAGTTGTGGCCAGTTCTGTCTCATTCATTTCCACTGTTACTTTTTCTGGAGTATTTCAAAAGCAAATTCAGACTTATTTAACTCACAAATTCTTCAGCTGGAATCTCTGATAAAGACTTTTCCTATTAATATTACTACTGTGTCATTATCACACCTGACAAAATCATGATGAATTCCTTAATATCATCTGGATACACATCCTGTACTCGTGTCCCCACTTTTCTCAAGGATGATCTGTCATCGTTGGTTTGTTCAGATCAGGATCCAAACAACGTCCACATGTGGCATTTGGTTGTTATGCCTCTCTAGTCGCCTGTCTTCTGTGAAGTACAGAAGGGGGAGCTTTGGAAGCTTTTCCTGGGGACGGAAAATGGCTCAGAAGACCGAAGGCCCTGGAGAGTGGATTAAAAGTGAGAGTTTCCATGCTGAGATCTAACTGGGAAAAGTGAGACTGGATCAGGCAAAGAAAGGGGCATTCTTGCCTCTTCCCATTGCCTTTGTTTGATGTGGGGACAACCTGCAGGGACACATGGTTTCTGCAGCTCTCCCCACCCGTTTATAAGGAGGCAGACTCAGGCACCTGTGAGCTTCACACGCTCCTTTCGGGAGGTGAGTCTAGGTAGAGTCTAGGCTTCAGCCAGGAAACCAGCCAGCAAAAGGCAGAGGTGGAGGGGCTGCCTATAGAGAGATCGGGGGAGAGGGGGCTAGAGTAACAGACCTGGACAGGAGAGGGCAGTGGGCACCCAGGTGTCCCTGGTTTTCAGTGGAGGATGGGGCTGGAGAAATGGCACAGATGGAGGTTTGAAAACTTGCCATCTGTTTGCAGTTTCTAGAGGCCTGGTATTTAAAGAAAATCTTCCGGAGTGCCTCTTCTGAAGAGCCAGGGTTCTTTTTTATGCCAGGAGGATGGCTGCTGCTTCATCCCCCTGCTCTGTGGATGAGGGCGCTGACCTAGGTCACCCCACTGGGCTTTTTCAAAGGCATTTGCGCCTGCAAAACAAAACCTGACTTCGGCCACAGCATTCTGTCTTCTTGCCTCCCTGACATTTTTCTGAGACACAAAACATGCTCCTAGGAGCCTGGTCAAAATTGCCCAGACTCTCTGGTATCCCCAAGGACTACAGGCCGGAGGAAGGTGGGCACTGTCTGTTTGCAGAGAGATGGGGGTGGCGTCAGGCAGAACATAGCTCCATCTCCCTCATACTCTCAATTTATCAAAAGTGTTAGTGCCACGTTCCTTCCGGGAACAGATTTCACAGCAGAATTTACATCTCTGATTTTCAAGGCTTAGATGAGAGTGTCAGCATTTGGTGAGCTCTCTTAGCAACCAGGGAGGCTGTTGGTTAGGAAAGGCCAGGCTGATAAATTTATCGCCCCGGTGGCCTCGTCAGAGTTCATGCTGTTTTGTGTAGCATATAGACAGCTGGCTAGAAGGAATTGCATCACCTCCCATGAATGGCCTCTGCAAGTGATCCCACCTGATATTTTAGTTGGGCCTCTCTGCTGTCACTGGCACTGCTAGACCAGTTGGAAGGTTGGATTCTCATAAGCAGGACTCCCCTAGCCTGCATGTTAACCTTCCAGCCATGGGGCTTAGGCATCTCTCTCCTGGCAGTGGTGCCAATCAGTAAGTGGATAGACTCCTCCCGCCTCATCAAACTCTCCAAATGGAGTACAAGTGTCCCCTGCAAGGGTTAGGGCCAAAGGTGAATTGCAGGCATTAGTGAAGTTAGAGGTAGAAATGTTCTGAGGATTGGGGCTCGGGGGAGGCAGGAAATCACGTTGGAAAGGAGACACTAGTTGCTGGGAGGTGCAGGAGAGGGGAACTAACAAACAAAAACCCCAAATAAATGCAGAATAAAATGACAGTGACACATGCTGGGAAAAAGTAGGGCACAGGCACAGTGAGTTCTGTGGAGCAGCTGGGTGCTATTTTATATAAGACTAGAGGCCCAGTGCACAAAATTCATGCACTGGGTGGGGGTGGTCTCTCAGCCTGGCCTGCACCCTCTCGCAGTCCAGGACTCCTTGCTCCTTACCACCCACCTGCTCGCTGCTCCTTACCACTTGGCTCGCTGCTCCTTAGCGCTGCCGAGGAGGCGGGAGAGGCTTCCGCCACCACCGCTGCGCTCGCCAGCTGTGAGCCCAGCTTCTGGCCAAGCTGTGCTCCCCCTGTGGGAGTGCACTGACCACCAGGGGGAAGCTCCTGCATTGAGCGTCTGCCTCTGGTGGTCAGTGCATATCATAGTGACCGATTATGCTGGTCGTTCTGCTGTAACAGTTGCTTAGGTTTTTATTATATAGATGATCAAGGAAGGCCTCTCTGAGGAGGTGACATTTAAGCAATGACCAGAACAAAGTGACAAAGTGAATATGAAGGAGCAAGGGCAAAACCCTGAGACCGTGGGTTCCTGGACTAGCAAGCAGACCTGTGTGATGGGAGCCACAACGATAGGAAAGTTATAGGGAGGAAATCAGGTTGGAGAAGGACCCAGGTGGTTCAGGCCTTGGGGGTCTTGGTGAATGTGTTGAGTTCCATTAAGAGTGTCAGGAAGCTGCTGGAAGGCTTTGATACCAGGAATGGGCAGGCTCTGCTCTCTTCTGCATCTCCCTTCCAGGTGAGATCTCAACCCAGGGCCGGGCTTGCAGGTGTGGCAGAGGAGGTGAAGGCAATTAAGGAAGGAGTGGGAGAGCAGGCCCAATGCTCCCCTCAGTGCCCTGTGCTCTTCTCTTCCCTCTCCATCTTTCTTTCTCCTCTCCCTCCCTTCTTTGCTCCTGTGCCCTTTGATCTAAACCACTATGTTCCAGTTTGGGAGGGTGACTTGCCCTGGCTTTCTTTCACGTGTCAAGGTTGTGTACACTCTCCTCTCTGACCCCCCACAGAACTCTGCTGACTCTCAGACAGAGCTGTGGGGAGTCATGGTGTTATGACACCTTGTCATGGTGTCATGGCTGCTGACCCAGGTGCCTGGTCTCTCATTGATAGGAGTGAGCAGGTCCTAAGTCCTAGGTTTTATTCCAGTTGTTCTCTTCAACAGCTCAGGGAAACAATTTCCACATACAACTATTAAGCACCCATTATTGAATGCTCTGAGTGGGAAGGAGGTGGGGCCAGGAACATTGACAAACACATGAAGAAATTTCTGTGCCCTCAGGTTGTTTTCCACTAGTGGGACTGAAATGGATGGTATATGTAATAAGGGAGCTCATGTGTTTTGGTCATGTTGGGGAGAGTGACGTTGTTTCTTGGAAGTTGTCTTAAAGGAGGTCACATTTGAATTGGGCTTTGAAACACACAGAGGCCTTCCAGGATGATGGGGGTTGGGTGGACGTGGAAAGGGCCTCCTGCCGGAAGATGTTAAGTCCAGGGCAGTGAGGGCCAGCAGTGTGCACCGGCTACCGCTGGATGGAAAATAAACAAGTGTGGTTAGAAGTAAGACCAGCACCTATGAGCTGCCTCGCCCCACATTCACTGACGTGCCAAATGAGGCGTTGCTGTGTGGAGGCGGTCAGAGCAGAGAGAAAAGTAGAGCTGGACTTTATGGACCATCCTTTGAGAATCGGTGAAAGCTATTGGCTCTCTTCAGAAGAAATGTATATCTGTACATAAATTCTAAATTATTTAATTGAGATATAATTCACATTTTATAAACTTATCTTTTAAAAGTATACAATTCTGTGGTTTTTAGTATATTCACAGGTTGTGCAGCAATCATCACTATATAATTCCAGAACCTTTTATTAATACCCGTTATTAGTCATTCCCCATTCTTCCCTCTCTCCACCCCCTGGCAACTAATCTATCTTCTGTCTTCATGGGTTTGCCTATTCTGCACATATGATGCAAATAGAATCATACAATATGTAGCCTTTTGCTTCTGCCTTCTTTCAATTATAATGTTTTCAAGGTTCATTCATGTGCAGCATGGATCACTACTTCATTCCTTTTCATGAATAATATTCCATTGTGTGGATAGACCATATTTTGTCTGTCCATCATCAGTTAATGTACATTTCAGCTGTTTCCACTTTTTGACTATTGTGAATGATGCTGCTGTGAATATTCATCTACAAGTTTACACACTAAAATTTATAAACCATTTCAGAAAGTTCATAGAACCCCAAAACCCATCTCTTGGTGTCAGAAAACTGTGTTTTATTTGAAAAAGGGGAAGAATTAAGAGGGAATTGACTCATCAAATTGTATACATTAAATATGTTTAAATTTTTTGATAAAACTATTTTTATTTTTTATTTTTCTAGGCTATTTTTAAAATAAAATAAAATTTAAAAAGAAGGAATGGAGAAGGCAGGAAGGCTATCAATAATTTATTTTTATTTATTGAGCATCTCTAGGTTAAGCACTTTACATACCCACATTCATTTAATCCTAAGTAACCCTGATATACAGTGTTACTTATTATCCCCATGTTACAGATGAGAAAACTGAGGCTCAGAAAAGTCATCCAGACTTCGTGGCAACTACACATTCCGTTTCCTCTTGACCTCCATCAAAGCCCCTATTTCCTTCCATTACTTTTGAATGGAGTACAATGTCCTGTTTGCCAACAAGGCATCCGTTTCGCTAAAGCCCATCAGGCTCAGTGCACGGTGGGCATCCTAGACTACTATACAATAACCCTTTCCCAAAGTGATTTGTGATCGAAAGCCCTGCTTCTTCTTGCGGGAGCTCAGGCTCTGCCCTGGCCAGCATGCGCATCTGGCTGTGGTAATAATAGCTCAGGGGCACCAGGGCATCTCCTGAACAGCTGAGACGCCTGTAAACGTTGTCCTCAGTGTGATATCCCTCCGCATGCGCTGCCCGGCAGGGGTGCCAGGGTCAGGCTACGGATGGCGTGTGGTTGGGGTTCTGTGGAGAGGGTGGCCGCTGCCCAGAGCTCAGTGTCAGCTGCCATGCTCTGCTTTGTCTCCCAGCCGGTGGACAACCAGCAAGCCCTGGTGCGCAGGGAGTCCGTGGTCAACCTGGAGAACTTCAAGAAGCAGTATGTCCGCAGACGGTGGAAGGTGTGTGAGGGCTTAGGGGTGGGGGGGAGGCTGCGGGTGCAGGGGACCCAGGTGGGTTCCTGGTTCCCTCCAGGGTCTCTGTGCACATTCTCACCTGGCACTTCCTCTTCTCTCCCTCCCTCAGCTCTCTTTCAGCATTGTCTCCTTGTGTAACCACCTTACCCGCTCCCTGATGAAGAAGGTGCACCTGAGGCCAGATGAGAGCCTGGTAAATAAATGCAGTGCCTACTTCTGGGGTGGAATTTGGGGGTGGCCTGGAGCCGGGGGATGAAGGGGGCAGTTGGGTCTTAACTGTTTCCAGCCAGTTCTGCTGGTCTGCTTTCCTCTGCACTGTGATTAGTGGAGGCCTCGTGTTCAGAGGGACCACCTAGATCAGTGATGGCGAACCTATGACACGCGTGTCAGAGGTGACACGCGAACTCATTTTTTTGGTTGATTTTTCTTTGTTAAATGACATTTAAATATATAAAATAAATATCAAAAATATAAGTCTTTGTTTTACTATGGTTGCAAATATCAAAAAAATTCTGTATGTGACATGGCACCAGAGTTAAGTTAGGGTTTTTCAAAATGCTGACACGCCGAGCTCAAAAGGTTCGCCATCACTGACCGAGAAGGTGCCAGGAGAAGCATAGCCCTGGGGCTCTCAGTCCTCTGCAGGTGGGCCTTCAAAGGCATGCTGCTGCCGCTTCACTGCCCAGCCTTTCCCCGAGGACAGGTAGCCTGCCGGGGACCTGAGGGCTCCGGATAATGAGACTACCACTGGCAATCCAAAATGTATTCCTGGCAATCCAGAGATCTGCTGTAGAATGGGAGCTTTATATTCATGTTTCAATTGTTCTTATTACTGTTTAGCTTTATATGAACATCAATAATAATAATTAGATATCTTATATTTGATTAGCTTGTTACCGTTTTGTGTACATTTAAATTGAGGGACTTATAATACACTGATCAAGAGTGTGGCCTCTGGAGCCAGACTACCAGGATTCACATCTGCCACGTAATAGCTGTGTGACTTTGAGGAAATTACTTAACCTCTCTGTGCCAAAATGTTATCAATTGTAAAATAGGGTTAACAATAGTTCCCACCCCGTAGAGCAGTCATAGGGATTAAATGATGACATATTCTTAGAACCTGACACTCTAAGTGCTCAATACAGATTAGCGGTTATTGTTGTCTAAAATACTCCTCTAGACTTTACAATGTACTGCCAGTGCTTCTGAATGCAGTGTTAGTATTTCAGCTGTTAGAAGTTCCCCAGGCAGATGCTCCTCACTCCTCTCTGCGTGTGGTGAGGGTCCGAGGAGTGTCTGGGGTGGCACAGGTCAGGACAGAAGGTGACTCCTGTTCAGGACAGGGCTGGAAGGCAGCTGCCTGAGACAGATGGGCCATCAGCCTTGAGCAACCTTAGGACACAGCACTCGGGCTGAATCCCAGGACCCGGCACAGCCCCTGTGCTCCTCCCTCCCCCCACACATCCTGGGTTCTTCTTTCTTCAGCCTCAGCTCTCCTTGATTCTTGCTCTTGCTCGGGACTTGAGTATTTATGGCTCCAGAGACCTGAAACAACTATGTGGCTTTGGCCAAGCTATGTCCCTTCCCTGGTCGCTTTCCTCGTCTCCTATAAAAGGAATTGGACTCCTTCCCTCTGAAAATCCCTAATAATGACAGGCAGACTTTCCCCCAGTTTACTTTTTTATTGTTTGGCTCTGACGCACACTAAAAAGTTGCTATTCAGCGGAGCTTGAGTTATTTTTATTGTTATAGCCAGGCTTGGTCCAGGATGTGTTTGGCTAAAGTTGATCTTGACCTTGGATTTCCAAGTGGCTACGGCCCGGGAAAGGGAAGAAGGCCCTGGGAAGGGATATAGTGGACAGCAGGCATGCCTTCCAACTGCATTGCCCTGATATAATGCAGGCCGCGGGGAGAGAGGACCAGAAAGTATTGAAAGGACTATCAATTTCTATCCTAAGACTTGTCCTTGATTAAACATTTTAAAAAGTC